AACATTACTGTTTTTATATAGTCTTTAGTTCATATAGTATTTGATTAGGTAGAGAAGAAAAAAAAACAGATGGATAAATAAAAAAATTGTCGACAATAGAAAGATGAGTAGTACTAGTAGCTTGATAACTTTGTTTATCTTATGCTGATGGGTGAATTTATTATCATGGTTAACTTGTTTCCATTGTATGTGTTATTCTTTTTATTGTTAATGTGTTTGTTTGTTGTCATGTCTTTAATTGCAGATGGATTCTCTATCATATGAAAACAACAATGAAGACATTCTTGGTGAAGAGATTGATGGAGACAAAGATGGTCCACCTCCCTCTTCAGTTAGAGGTAAAAGAACAAAATCTCAGAGATCAAGCTCTAGTATTCCAGTCAAACAGAGGAAAAGGCCAGCTCATAGAGCTGTTGTGTGGAAGCATTTTGATCAAAAGCCAAACAATCTAGCGTTAAGCAACTGTCGCTATTGTAAAACAGAGATTGGATGCGACTCGGTTAAAAGTGGAACAAGTGAAATGACCAATCACATCAAAAGGTGCAAGTTATTCAAGATGTATGAAGAGAGTGATAAACAGAAAATCATAGCTGGTGATAGCAGTGGTGTAATGACAGCAATCAAGTATAATAAATGGTTGTTTAGAAGATCTGTTAATGAGATGTTAGTGCTTTGTGAGCTGCCTTTTGCATTCGTGGAGTCATTGGGGTTTAGGAGATTCTGTGCTAACAATCTCCCAATGTATCAGCTTCATTGTAGGACGACAGCTACTAAAGATTGTTATGGATTGTATTTGCAAGAGAAAGCTGCTTTGAAAGAGTTGTTTGGTAAGCAAAAACAGAGAGTCTCATTGACAACAGATATATGGGTAGCTAGGACAACTGCGTGTAGTTACATGGTGGTGACAGCTCACTAGGTTGATAATGATTGGAAGTTGCAGAAACAAATTATCAGCTTCAAACCCGTCCTTCATCACAAGGGAGATACAATAGCTACACATTTGATCGGCTGTTTAGATGAATGGGATATCAAGAAGGTCTTCACAGTCACAGTAGATAATGCAAAAGGTAATGACAAAGCTTTGCGGTTGTTCATAGATAATTTGATATTGCGAGATCCTGATGCACTAGTCAAATATGGTGACTATCTTCACATGCGTTGTTGTGCTCACATCTTGAATTTGATAGTCAAAAATGGGCTAGCTAAGGCTAAGCATAGTATAATGGCTATTCGGAATGCAATCAAGTACGTGAGGTCATCGGGTGATAGACTCAAGTCTTTTAAATCGAGGGTGGAGTCAGGAAATGCAACTAGAGGAAGCTTATGTCTTGATGTTGTCACTAGATGGAATTCCACCTATCTTATGCTCACAGCTGCGATCAAGTGTAGGGGTGCATTTGAAAAAATGTTGGCTGAAGATAAGTTGTACAATGAGTACTTCATGGAGAAAGATGAGGATAATGAGGATGAGGATGATGAGAGTGACGAAATAGATGAGAATGCAAGAAAACGTGTTGGTCCTCCAACATTTGTTAGTTGGGAAGAAGTGCAAAGGTTATGTAAGTTTCTGAAAATCTTTTTCAATTGCACTCTTTCTTTTTCGGCATCTAAATCAGTGACATCAACTATTTGCTACAATGAGATTGTGAACATTGAGAGAAATCTGATTAGGCTTGCAATTAACGGCGGTACACTATTAACGACAGAAGCTATGGCGATGCGAGCTAAATTTGAGAAATACTGGGATGGTCTTATCAACATGAATCCGCTTGTGATCATTGCAAGTGTTTTTGATCCGAGGAACAAAATGCAATTTGCAAGTTTATGTTTTGACAAGCTCTATGGGAAAGATAGCTTGGAAGCTAATCATCTTAGATCGGGGATTAAGGATGTGATGAGGAAGCTATATGAGGAGTATGTGGCGAGGCTGAGCACATCTTCTCAAGCTGATAGTGGTGGTGCAACAAGAAGTGATCATGGCGAAGCAGCAGATGTTAGTGCCTTGTTTGATTTGACGGATGATGATGGTTATGAGAGGATGGATTCTTTGTACTTTGAGATAGTAGCAGAGACTGCAAATGAAGTAGCTAGTAGTGAACTTGACATGTACTTGCTTGAGAAACCTGTGCCAAGCACTTGATCCTTGAATTAGAGTTCAAAATTGAGGTACACATTATCTTATCTTTTACTCTTTAATCGTCTGTCTCAGTTTAGTCTTTCTCATTAACATTATCTTATTTTATTGTCTAACAGACAAGGTGACAAACACAAATGATTTTTTGAACAACAAACTCTCTCTCTTTTGGGGTCAGGAGAACAATGACAACATGCCAAATGATTCCCTTTGACTTACGTGCAAAGTCACAGGCCTATAATGGATCATTGGTTTATTGTCATTTCTGTCGAGATACATGTTTTTGGAACAATTTATGTATCTCTTGTATTTCATTTCGGTTAAGTTATTGAGTTGTTGTTGTATACTCATGATGGATGCTCTGAATTGATTAACTTTTTGTAAGCGTGATTTTAATCGAATTGGTTCACTTTTTGTTAGTTAGATTTGTGTCTTGATAATGTAGAAAACCGATTAAACCGAATGTAAATACCCGAATAAACCGGGTCCGAACCGAACCGAATTATTATTCGGAATAGGATTCAATTTCCGAATAAACCGGAAAACCGAAAAACCGAACCCGAATTAACCGGTCGGACACAAATCTTAGGCCTAGGAAACACCACCAATGGGGCACACCACCAAATGTTCAACATTGGGGAACACCACCAAATGCACAACATTGGCGAACACCACCAAATGCTCAACATTGGGGGATACAATCAAATGCTTCCCAGTGAAATAGTCCACCAAATGCTCAACAATGGGGCACACAACCAACTGAGTCGCAATGGAATTTACCGCAAAATAATCCACAATGGAATTCATCATCAAATGCTTCACATTATGGTCTTTAACCAAACTTTCAATCTTCGGGTCCACCATCAAATGTCCAACAAGGGCGTAATACACCTAATTTTTAACAAAGAAGCTCATCTGTTTAAGGGACACTCAACAAGAAGGATTAGAAAGACATAGACGAGGAGGTCTGTTTAATATATGGGGAACCTTGCAGGGAGCAAATAGATTCAAAAGACGAAAACTAGTTTTTTCTAATCGATTCTATTCTTGTTTATGTTAAAAAATATTTTATGATTTTTCTTAGTTTTTCTTTATGGCTTTTCTTAGTTTTTTCCGCATTTGGTGTAATTATATATTGTAAGTTCACTTATGGCTAATAACATTTTCACTATCTCATAAAATTTCAGGTTTTTCGTATATGTTAGTTGGGATCACAAGGAAAAAATAATCTAAGTTACGAAGAAAGAGCTGAATTGTGGAATTTAGAAGATGAGTAATTTGAGGAGTTAATAATTCAGCCAACTTTGAGTTACCATGATCAATATTTCGAAAGAGCACCAATGCAAATTGATGGAGGTATAGGATGGAGAAATATTTGGCATCGACTACAATAAGATGTTGTTGCTTGTCTTCAGTTATTACGAATGTCACTCACAGCATTCACAACATTGTGCAGTCTGTTACAAACAAATTACAATCTATAACCAACACTATATATAAGCATTGAAAAAAATGTTGCTATGTTTTTACAAATAAGTAGGCACAATGAAGTTCAAAGAGATGTTGGTTTGAGATTTGGACGAAATCAAGAGACCGTGAAGAGAAAATTTGGGGAAGGTTTTACAACAACTGAATTATTAGCATCTAATTATATTAGAACTCCAACAACTCAAGATTTACATCTAATTACTGAGAGACTTGAAGTATATTGAAGATATTGACTTTATTTTAGTGGATTTATTGGAGCTATGGATGGGACTCATGTTTGTGTAAAAGTGAAGTCTGAATTACAAGGAATGTATTGGAATTGACACGATAATGCATCTTTGAGCATCATGACAATATGTGATTTGAATATGTTATTCATATATATTTGAAATTGAGCATCGAGATCATATGTCACGACACGTTTTTCTATCAAGAGGTAGAATTGTGAAGTATCATATGTCGTAATTCTATTCTAGACCACTTCCAAGAAATAAGAAAGAACTATTTGATCGATGTCATGCGTCATTATGTTTAGTAATCGTGAGAACTCTTGGAGTTTGGAAGAAGAAATGGAGAATTTTTTATGATTTCCCAAGATGTAGTATTCAAGTACAAAAGAGAGTGGTAATGGCTACAATGAGATTTCATAATTTTATCAAATTTTCAAAATTTTCAGATGCAGATTTTACAGAAGTAATGATAGAGGCTGGAATAAACGATACAGATTGGGAGCCTAAGTTAGATGATATAGAAGCAAATGAAGTAGTAGATGGAGAACTTATGCCACAAATAAGAGACAATATTGCAGACATGTTGTGGGAAAATCAAAATACTCGTTCATATTATTTTGTCATGTATTATTTTTCTTGTGTTTTTGATAGTTATTGTTTCACTTAATTACAGAAATAAAATAATTTTTATAAAATTCTAAACTCAATTATTTAAATTATCTTATATTTAAGGTTTGTAAAAAAAAATATTAAAACAATCGTTAACTAAACACAAAACTATAACTTTTACTTCATACTAATAATAATATCAGTAATCTATTTTAATTTTCAAAATGTATACTTATAATATATTTGTACAGCTAATTGCGGTTTTCACCATTAAACTATTTGTATTGTACCACATATCGTTTTTTACCATTAATACATTGTTCAGTACTGTGTGTTCCGCAATAGTCGCACTTGTTCCACATACTTCGTTTTAGTCAACCGCATCGTAAAAAACCCGCACCGTGCTTCTATAACCGCTTGTCCCGCAGTCTCTGAAAAACTGATACCATTCAAAGCCTAATTAATTTTGTGTGATGGTTTTAGATAGTTTACCCGCACTATATGTAGGGGTGTCAAAATGGGTAACCCAACTCAACTCAACTCATAATCAAATGAGTTGAGAGTTAAATGAGTTATGGGTTGACCCAACTCATTTTGTTATATGGATTGGGTCAACCCATAACTCATTTAATTTGACGGGTTGAAATGTTAAATGGGTTAACCCATTTAAGTAATAATTTAATTAATTATTATTATAAAACAATAATAAATAATTATTAATTCATTATCATCAAACTATAAATATTTACGGATTCCACTTTTTACGGATTTACGTTTTCGGAAGGAAAATTACGGGTTTATGTTTTTGGTGGAAAATCACAGGTTTACGTTTTTGGCGGAAAAACGGGTTTACGTTTTTGGCGGGAAAATTGCAAGTTTTAGTTTTTTGGTGGGAAAATTGTAGGTTTACGTTTTCGGAGGAAAAATTACGGGTTTATATTTTTGGCGGGAAAATCACGGGTTTACGTTTTTGGCGGGAAAATCACTGGTTTATGTTTTTGGCGGGAAAATTACAGGTATAAGTTTTTTGGCGGGAAAATTACAGGTTTACGTTTTTGGAGGGAAAATTACGGGTTTACGTTTTTGACGGGAAAATCACGGGTTTACGTTTTTGGCGGGAAATTCACGGGTTTACGTTTTTGGCGGGAAAATTACGGGTTTACGTTTTTGGCGGGAAAATCACGGGCTTACGTTTTTGGCGGGACAATCACGGGTTTACGTTTTTGCGGAAAAATCACGGGTTTATGTTTTTTGGTGGAAAAATTACCAGTTTACTATTTCTCAATTTCATCGCTTGTATATTTAAGAAATTTGGAAAAATATTAATTTTATTAAATTGATTTAGATGTGTTGGTTAAACTTAAATTGACATTGGTTTAGAGATTTTAGTTGGTTTAACTCTATTTTACAAAACTTGATGGGTTAATTGGGTAAACCATTGAAACCATTAACCATTACAGTCCAACTCATTTTATTCATCAAACCAATTGACTCAATAACTCATTTGACTCATCAACTCATTTGAGTCAAAATTTTCAACTTATTAGGGTTCATTGGTTGAGTTGAGTTGAGTTGACCCATGAATTTTGACCCATTTTTACACCCCTAACTATATGTAAGATAAAATGATTATTAAATATATTATAGTAAATTACAAAATTTACTGTATTATTATTTAAAATCTAAAATTTACATATGTTATGTAATGTAACATATCTTTTTATTATATATGTTATGTAAATGTCAAAATATTCCGTAATTCGTAATTGGATATTACACGAAAATTTGCAGTTTGGTTGTATACTTGAGACACGGGTGAAGGAAAGAAGAGCAGATAACATTTTTAGATCAATTTTTTGAGATTGGTCTCTCATATCAAATTATGATTTTACTCGGCTGGGAAGAATTTGGGTAGTGTGGAGTCCAAAAGTCCGCTTGACACCATGTTTTACAAGTAGTCAAATGATTACTTGCTCAGTTCTGCTTGAGGGAATGGAGGAGGAGTTCTTTGTTTCTTTCGTCTATGCATCTAATTTTGTGGATGACAGGAAGGAGTTATGGGCAGATATGAAAAATCACTATGACTCACCCATGTTTAGAAATAAACCTTGGATGATCTATGGTAATATGATCCTGGTTAGAATCACAGTCCCTTGAATACACTTCGTGTGGTTGATTGTAAGATGATGAGATTATTCAGGAACAGTCTGCGGATTGACTGTATGATGGTGATGGTGATGGCGATCGAGTATCAGATCCTGATGGTGCGATCTAGTAGATTTGGTGACAGTGATGATGATGACGCGATCGAGTAGATTTGTTGATATGATGCTGCGATAGAGTGATTTTGGTGAAGTGATGATATGATGCTGCGATAGAGTGATTTTGATGAAGTGATGATATGATGCTGCGATAGAGTGGTTTTGGTGAACTGATGGTATGATGTTGCGATAGAGTGATTTTGGTGAACTGATGGTATGATGCTGCGATAGAGTGGTTTTGGTGAACTGATGGTATGATGTTGCGATAGAGTGGTTTTGGTGAAGTGATGATATGGAGATGAGATCGAGTATGGTGATGGAATGGGGATCGAGTAGAACTTCCAAAGGATGTGAAAGACCTTTGAACTTCCGAGCTTGATCGTGCTTGGATATGACACACCAAAAGCATTCACAAGATGAGATCGTGATATTACACACACAAACTCAAGATCAAACGAATTCAGAAAGAGATTTGATAAGAAAAAAAGTTTGATGATTTGATTACAAGGAGAAGAAGAGATTATAAAGAAGAAGAAGAGTCTAGGGAAGATGTAAAGTCGTCATAGGGAAAGAAAAACGAAATAAACACACAAAGACTAAATTCAAATAAAATGGGCTTCTCCTTGGCAATGGGCTGCGAGACAACAATGGGCTGATGTGGTCGAGTGTGTGGGCTTGCCTCGTTAAAAACCTCTCTTGGAAAACCCAATGGGACAAAACCAAGAGGAGGGAAAAAGAGTGCAAGTCACACACCTCCATTGTTGTCGCTTAAACCGCTTGAATCACAACCAACGTGGTTTGACAAGCATCTTGTTTAAGACTGCCCTCAATGTGTTGTAGAAGTGTAGTGATATCTTGATTTAGTAGTCTAGTCTTCGATCTTGTCATTGGACCATTAAGAACATGCATTGCTTCCTTTTTTGTAGCTCCAAGCAGTTCATCTTCATGTTGGGTCGAGTAGTCCATCGAGTCATTAGATTCAAGCTCCCTCAAATCTTCAACAGCATGCTTGATCGAGTGGTTGATAACTTTCCCTCCTTCAAACTGCTCCTTAGCTCCATGATCCAAGCTTGTCATTATCTCATCAGCTCCATGATCCAAGCTTGTCATTATCTCATCAGCTCCATGATCTAAGCTTGTCATTATCACATCATCCTCTCCCAGTTGAAAAGGATTTGACCTCAAATCTGTGTTGTCTGCAATAAAAGGAATAAGGTCAGCAACATTAAAACTATTACTCACATTATACTTACCTTGCAAATCCAAAGAGTAGGCATTGTTGTTGATCCTCTTGAGCACTTTAAAGGGTCCGTCTATCCTTGACATAAGTTTGGACTTTCTCTCTTTAGGAAAACGTTCTTTTCGGAGATGAATCCAAACCAAGTCTCCCTCGTTGAAGATGACTTCCTTTCTACTCTTGTTGGCGTGCTTAGCATACTGTTTTGTTTTCTCTTCAATGTTCTTCTTGGCCTGCTCATGAATCTGTTGCACCAATTCTGCCTTCTTCTTTCCATCTAGACTGACTCTTTCACTCAAAGGCAAAGGCATTAAATCCAAAGGAGTAGTAGGATTGAACCCATAAACGATTTGAAAAGGCGAAAATTTAGAGGCAGGATGCATAGAGTGATTATATGCAAATTCAACATGAGGTAGACAGTCCTCCCAAGTCTTTAGATTCTTTTTAATCAATGCACGCAAGAGTGTAGACAATGTCCTATTAACGACCTCAGTTTGCCCATCAGTTTGCGGATGACAAGTAGTAGAAAACAACAACTTAGTTCCTAGCTTAGACCAAAGAGTTTTCCAAAAATAACTAAGAAACTTAGTGTCTCTATCTGATACTATGGTCTTAGGCATGCCATGCAAACGAACAACTTCCCTAAAGAACAGATTGGCTATATGTATGGCATCATCAGTTTTATGACAAGGGATGAAATGTGCCATTTTAGAAAATCTATCAACAACCACAAAAATCGAGTCCTTACCTGTCCTGGTCCTTGGCAAACCTACTACAAAGTCCATAGAAATATCATTCCAAGGATGCGAAGGAATAGGAAGAGGAGTATACAAACCGTGGGGTTGTGACTTAGCCTTAGCTTGTTTACATGTTCGACACCTTTCACATATTCTCTCCACGTCTCTTTTCATATGCGGCCAGTGAAAGTGATCTTGCATTACTTTAAGAGTTTTTGAGACTCCAAAGTGTCCCATTAAGCCTCCACCATGTGCTTCCCTTATAAACAGCTCTCTCAAAGACGAATTAGGAATACACAAACGGTTATCATAAAACAAGAACCCGTCATGTCTATAATATTTTCCAAATGCAAACTTTTCACAAGATGAATATATCTTTTCAAAATCAGAATCATTTGCATAAAGAGATTTTATATGCTCAAAACCGAGTAACTTAGCATCAAGAGATGAGAGAAGAACATACCTCCTTGACAATGCATCAGCAACTACATTGTCCTTACCTTTCTTATATTTGATGACATAAGGAAATGTCTCAATGAATTCAACCCACCTTGCATGCCTCTTGTTGAGCTTCTGTTGTCCTTTAAGATGCTTCAAGGACTCATGGTCTGTGTGAATGACAAACTCCTTAGGCCAGAGGTAATGTTGCCACGTTTGTAATGCCCTTACTAAAGCATAAAGCTCTTTGTCATAGGTAGGATAGTTGAGAGTAGCTCCTCCAAGCTTTTCACTGAAATAAGCTATTGGCTTCTTATCCTGCATTAAGACAGCACCAATTCCTACCCCGGAGGCATCACATTCAATTTCAAAAGTTTTAAGAAAATCAGGAAGTGATAAAACAGGGGCATGAGTAAGCTTCTCTTTTAAGGCCTGGAAAGCATCTTCTTGAGCTTGTTCCCACTTGAATCCAACATTTTTCTTAATAACTTCGGTGAGTGGAGCTGCTAGAGTGCTAAAGTCCTTCACAAACCTCCTATAGAAACCAGCAAGTCCATGGAAGCTCCTCACTTCCCGTACAGATTTAGGACTTGGCCATTCTCGAATTGCCTTCACCTTCTCTTCGTCAACTTTAACTCCATCTGTACTCACAACAAAACCTAGGAAGACAAGGTTATCTGTTCCAAAAGTACATTTCTTAAGATTGGCATAAAGCTTTTCCTTCCTAAGTACTTCTAAAACCATTTTCAAATGTTCAACATGCTCTTCTAGACTCTTGCTGTAAACTAGGATGTCATCAAAATAAACAACAACAAAACGTCCTATAAAAGCTCTAAGAACATGATTCATCAGTCTCATGAATGTACTAGGTGCATTTGTCAGCCCGAATGGCATCACTAACCATTCATATAAACCTTGTCTAGTTTTAAATGCAGTTTTCCATTCATCGCCTTCTTTCATCCTAATTTGATGATACCCACTTTTTAAA